TTCCCTTCCGGGGTGGGGGCTGTCCTGGGGGGGGGCCTCCTGGGTCGTGTTTCCAGCCCCTTGCCCCCCAGGTGGGGACTGTCTTGGGGGGACCTCCTAGGTTGTGTTTCCAGCCTCTTGCCCCCGAGGTGGGGCATATCCTGCAGGGGGGCCTCCTAGGTCCTGTTTCCAGCCCCTCGCTCACCCCTGCAGGTGGGGGACATCCTGGGGGGGGGACCCTTCCCAGTCCTGTTTCCGGCCCCTCGCCCCCCCAGGCACTCAGTCCTGGTCTGTTTCCCACCCTAGTCTGCACAGATGCTGATCACAGTCAAACCCGGCACAGAACCCGGACATGTGGTTCAGGAGGGCCCGGGACGGCAATGAGGTGCCAGTGCCGAGCCCTTCGAGGAACGCCCTGCCGTTCAGGGGGCAGAGGGGCCATCTCTGGCCCTCAGCCCAGCTCTCACCTTTGTTCCGGAAGCTTCTTGGGGGTCAGGGAAGCCGTGAGTGGAGGGCGTAGCTCTGGCAGGGCCCCCAGAGGCTCTTTCTACCTGGTTTCTCTTCTGCTCTAGTTGGCTTATGGGGAAACCGATCACACCCACTCGGGGGCCATCGACGCCCACGACCTGAGGGTGCCCCTCAGGAAAGCAGGTGAGGACGTGCGGTGTAGACGAGCCACGGGGACGGGCGTCTCACTATAAATACTCCTACTGGGCTGGCGATCATGGCGGTGACTCTCCTCCCTGGGGCATCCACGTGACGGTGGCTCGAGCGCCTTCCCCCCCCAGGGGTCTGTTCAGCGCGACATCCAGGCTTCTCCCAGGGCCCTCGCGGCTGCTGGGAGGGTGCCGGGCAGAAGGCGCCCTTTCTTGCAGCGGTGGCCGCGATGTGCGGCTGGACGGGTGCCGGGGCCACGGGCCTAGTTCAGTGCCAGGCTCGTCCTGAGGCGGGGCGGCTCCCAGGATTGCCATGGGGTGACGACAAGACCTTGGAGGAGGCCGGCCGCGTCAGTCCGAGCCCCACCCTGCCGTGACCCGGGCCCTCCCTGCGGGTTTCACGCTCAGCAGCCGGGGGCAGCAGACCCTTGCCCTGTGGTACACCACGGCAGATGCTGCATCGACTTCGATGGCTTCTCTGCCTGTGTGACCGGCCCGGAGGCCCTCTTCGGTGAGTCCCTGTCCCTCAGTCCCTCCCATTTCGCTGCAGGTGCGGGGGCGGGGGCAGGTTGGTAGGTGGAACCAGGAGGACCTCCTGGGGGAGGCGGGGCCCACTCAGGCCACGCCCAAGGTCAGAGACTGCCTTTCTTGGAGACTCCAAACGCTGCTGCCGCCGCATCAATAGTTTGCCCGCTCGTGGTTCAGGTTGTTGACTGCTAAGTGCAATCACTGGGCCAGGCTGATGGCGTCCCCGTAGTGGTGAAATGGCTTTCACTGTCTGTTGTCACCTGTGCCTCCCTGGGGATCATGTCAGTGGGGCTGGAGACCCCTTGGATGGGCAGTGAGTGGGCTCCCTCCCCGTCGGGCTGTGGCCTCAGGACAAGGCGTCCTGCTAAGGGAGGGGTTTCTTCACTGAGGGCCGGGAGGTGGTTCTAACGGGAGTGGGCGGGGCAGCCAGACACGAAGCTGACACAGGGGGTCATCTGCCAAGGGGGCCACCGTGGTCTGTCCGCAGTTCCCTCTTCCCTCCACCGCCTGGAAACAATGGCAGGTTCCTAGAGCTTCGGAGGGTGGAGAGGACCAGAGACCGTCTCTGCTCACAACTGCGGTTTGTCCCCTGGGGCAGGGGGCCGCGTGCCCCCCAACCCACCCTGCGTGCTAAATCTACGTGCAGCTTTTCAGAGTCCCTGAGGCAGGTGGGAGCTCGGGGGTCAGGGAGGGGCTTCCTGGGGGGGCGGTGGGTGCATGGAGGCAGCTCTCTGGCGGTTCTGAAGCCCAGGACCGCCCCTAATCTCCTTCCTTCTCTGGCGCTCCAGAACTGTTGAGGCTGCTGGACGAGGACCAGAGTGGCAGCTCTTCCTCTTTGAGGAACCGCTTGCTGGTGGGACTTGGAGGTTCCTGGACGTAAGGGGGGCTGCGTGGAGCTCATTCACGGTGACCTGTGCTGAGTTCTCGGGCGGGCACCGCAGGGAGGAAGGCTGTCGCAGTGCAGCCGTCCGAGCACGTGTGTTGATTATGACCGCGAAGATAATTTCCGGGGGTGCAGCCCTTGTTAGTGTGAACGGAGCTGTGGGTGGTGGGCCGTCTAAGGCCTGACTTCCAGGACCGGAGGTCTCAGATTAACGCGGACCAGGGGGTCAGAAGCCAGCGACAGGTGGGAGTGTCCGTGGCTTGGGTCCAGGGACCTGGGGAAGGTCTTCCGGAAAACATGCCCGAGGAGGTCCACCTGGTTCACCTGGAAGCGAGTGTGTACATGCGTGTGCTTGTACACACACACGCGCACACACCTGTTTGGGGCAGTTCCTCTTGGGTCTAAGCCTTCCCTAAGTCATGTTTCTGCTCGTGGGGGCGGGTGACTGAGCTGAGGGCTTCCTTATCGGGCAGCGCTCGCTGGCGCGTGGACGTGTCGCGGGAGAGCGTCTCTGGCAGGCACACGGCTCACCCTGGTGTCCTTCTCTTGCCGTGGCTCAGCTGTGTGTTGGTCTGACCCGGGCTCGTGGCCATCGGGGATGCTCCGCCCGCCCGCCCGCGCTTTCCTCCCCATCCTCGCGGTTCTGTGAGCCTCGGTCCCCGAAAGGCCGCTCTTCCTACCTTCCTTGCCTGTCACTATCCCCACGTGGACCCCGGCCTGTCCCACCCGGCAGTCTGGGAGCCGGGGCTCAGTGTTCAAGCCGACCCCGGAGCCCAGAGGGCAGACAGAAGTGAATTAAAGTTTGGCCCAAAACGGTTCCCGCCTTTGTCTAGTGTTGTGCAGGGTGGGGAGGGCTCTGCTGGTCCTCCTTCAGGAGAGGGGTTTTGGGAAAACTGAGCTGCAGGGGTGGAGATGGGGGGGCTGCCTCCGGGGTCCGTAGGCTGGACGAGGACGAGGACGCATGGGTGGCTGCTTCCTGCCCTTGTGAGGCGGGGGGGGGGGGGGGGGGTCTCCCTTCCTCACTGGTGGCCTGGAAGTCAGAGCATCCTTGCTGGCTCTCCCCCTGCGGCCTCGGGAAGGGGGAGGAAGGTGTGAGTCTGCTGTGGCTGCCGTAGCCGTGGATCCAGGGGCCCACAGATCCCGGGGCCCGGATGGCCAAGATCCGCGCGCGGGTGGCCGGGCTCCAGGGAGAGCCCCCTGGGCCGCGATCCTCACTGTGTGTGCGGGCGGAGAGCAGGGAGGGGGCAGGCTCTCTGGGGTGCTCGCAGGGCACAGACCTGGTCATGGGGACCCCACCTGCTGGGGCTCATCAGATCCTGGTCTCCTCCCGCGGGCCCCGCCGCCTACAGCTGGTGCCTGGGGTCCAGCTTCACGCGTGGATGCGAGGGGGACAGCCACTCAGCCCCTGCCAGCGAGCTGCTGGAGAGAAACCACGCACACGCCTTGGCCCCTGCGGCTCTGGCGGAGGGTAGTCTTCCGCTTCTGGAAGCAGAGCTGGATGCCCACCCCTCCCAGGAGCACAGCCGGAGGGCACGGGCACAGGCCTTTAGCTGGGGCAGGGGCTCCGGGTGTCGCCCCTGCAGGCAGCGCTCCATCCTGACGGCGGGGGAGGAGGCACTTCTGTTCCGGTGGCCGTGTTCTTCCTTGTCCGCCCCGGGGTGACATGGGGCGGCCTGGGGCCAGCACCTGCCTGTCCCCCAGCCCTGCTGCTGTTGGTCAGGTGCTCGCTGACCCAGCACAAGCCCCACCCCACCCCGTTCTCGGAGGACAAGGGGATTTGGCCTGATTCTTCCTTACACGTCAAGTACAGAATGGCTGCGTACGTTTAAAGTGACGTGAGGGGCACCTGGGGGCTCAGTCGAGCCCCAGGTCGGACCGAGCGTCCAGCTTCGGTCAGATCATGATCTCGTGGTTCGTGGGCTCGAGCCCCACGTGGGGCTCTGTGCTGACGGCTCGGAACCTGCTCGGGATTCTCTCTCTCTTCCTCTCTCTCTGCCCCTCCCCTGCTAGCGCTCTCTCTTTCAAAAATAAAGATTAAAAAGAAAATAAAGTGCTGTGTTGTAATCAACTTGCAGTAACTTTATTTTATTTTTTTTACAGACTTTTATTTCTTAATTATTAAAAATGTTTTAAGTATTTATTTTGAGAGAGACAGAGCGTGAGCAGGGGAGGGGCGGAGAGAGAGGGAGACACAGAATCTGAAGCAGGCTCCGGGCTCTGAGCTGTCAGCACAGAGCCCGATGCAGGGCTCGAACTCACGAACCGGGAGATCATGACCTGAGCTGAAGTTGGACCTTTGGCCGAGCCAGGTGGCCACCCCCAGGGGGTTTTCTTTTAAGGCCCGCAGGCTTCAACTACTTTCGCGGATAGTCTGGTAACCAAATAAATAGTCTCATCATAAAATGGTGTTTGCTGTGGGGTCTCACGTCCCCAGTACAGGTTGTGGGGGACGCCTCACCCGTGCAGCCCAGGAGGTGGGTAAAGGTCCCAGCAGTACAGAGCTCGCCTCTCACACCCCTGCAAGCTCACGTTATGCTCCTGTGTTCCCCTGGACTGAGGCGGTTGGAGATGTTGCTTTTCGATGTGACCTCTTCTTCCCTCCTGGGTGAGGCTGCGTCAGCCGGTCGGCCTCCTGGAATCCGGGGCTGCACCGCGTGGTCCCCGGGGAGGCCCCCATGGTGTCCTGTGCCTCCCCTATCTGCGCGCTCTCCACCGACCCGTCACCGCATGCTTTCGCAGCTCCCTGGAGCCCAGGTCAGCGCCCGGCACAATGTAGGCCCTCTGAAAACTTGGTCCTTTTCTTTGCCAATGAGGAGGGTCTCCCAGCGGGAAGGGGGTGGGGGGGTGTTGCAGTCACTCCCAGTAAGCCGTGGCAGCAGAAGCAGTGGGACTGGGGTGTGGGTACATCACCGCCGGGCCTCTGTGGAGGTGTGGAGGGCAGGGGCCTGGGGAGACACGCGGCCCCTGCCCCGCTTCATGACACCAGGGGCATGGGGGGGG